TTTTTGCGGTACACGGGCCTCTCACTGTTGTGGCCTCTCCCGTTGCGGAGTCCGGACGCGCAGGCTCAGCGGCCATGGCTCACGGGCCTAGCCGCTCCGTGGCATGTGGGATCTTCCCGGACCGGGGCACGAACCCGTGTCCCCTGCATCGGCAGGCAGACTCTCAACCACTGTGCCACCAGGGAAGCCCAGATCATTCTTCTTAGGACTCACCACACTTGTAACAATATGTTTAATAACGATGCCCTGTTGGACTCAATGTCCAAATCGGCCAGGGACCACCTCTCTCTTGTTCACTGTGTGATTTCCAGGTAGTTACCAGATGCCTGGCACGTTAATATGTGTTAAATGGAGCCATGAATAAATGATAAATTTCACCAACTCAGGACATAGGGGTCCTGCAAACCAGGGTAGAGGGGAGGGAGCAAACAAGAGAAAAAGAAGACAGATGTAAGAAAGGCCAAGGGAGTTTGACAAATAAGCTGGAGATGTGGGACCAATGCTTATCCTCATCGAGGGGGGTCTCTGCTCTCCTTCCAGGCCTGTGTCCGAACTTTCTATGAGACGCCTCTCCAGTTGCTGGAGAAGATCAAGAATGTCTTTAATGAAACAAAGAATCTCCTTAAAAAGGACTGGAACATTTTCAGCAAGAACTGCAGCAATAGCTTTGCTAAATGCTCCAGCCAAGGTGAGCACAGAAGGGGCCAGCAAGTGTGGGGATGGGGAAGGGCATGTGGAACAGAGCTGCATTGGGAGGTGACGCATGGGGCTGGAGGGACCCCTGGGAGGCAGCCTGGTTGCTACTCGTGCTCCTGTGTGTGTAGACGTGCTTGTTTTGTGTACATATGTGGCTTCATGTACCTCTGGGTGGTCCTAGGCACATGCCTTTTCTGACATGTGTGTGCATGCACACCTACATATGTCTGCATGTTGAGGCATCAAGAAGGATCATGCTGGTGGCTGTGAGATCAAGGAGTGGAAAAGGGGGCCCTCTCAGAGAGCCCTGTAGGCATGGAGGCTTTCCCACCGGCTCTGCAGGCTGGCTGAACGTATGGGGGGTACCGTGGAGAGAGCAGAGGCTCCATCGGGGATTCAGGGCCCTTGCTCCGGGAGCCCTGCTGCGAATCATCAGAATACCCTGGCTCCAGAAGTCCCCAGGATGCCTTGAGTGTCCCCTCAAGGGACAAGGCTGGATTTGAAGTCTGAGCATCATTCAAACTCTCCCAGTGCTGGCCCAGCTGCACACATGTCTACCCTGCGTTGTCCTCGTCTCTGCGTCCTGTGCCATGTGTGCCCACCTACATTCAACCTTGCTCCCCGAGGCAGGGGCTGAGGCCCTGCGACCTGCCAATGGCCAAGTCCAGTCTCGTTGCTTCAATCCCAAGGCCTCAAGCCTTGGCCACATTCCAGCCCCAGCCTGTTCCCGCCTGTGGCCATGACTGTTTAGCCCCTTGCTGTGCATGAAACCACCTTGCTGCTTTCCAACCAACAGTGTCTTTGGGGCCTGAGGGTGTCTTGTGTTAGTCCTGGAGGCCACTACTCAACCTCCTGGCTGGCTGTTGTCACCCCTGGCTTGGCGTCTGGCCAGCTGGAACTCCAGGAAGGGCTGTTCTCTGGTCTTGCCTGACCCCAACCCCCAATCTGTGTGTCTAAACCCCAGTTTTTGCTCTTTCCTGCAAAGACCCTTCCTGCAGTTTGCACCTTCCCTGTCTAAGGCCTGTGTCATGAGCATTGGCTCCAGTCCTGTCCTCTCCTCAGCCCCAGGGCTGAGTTAGGGCATGAGGGGACCCCCAGACCCACATACCCCTCTCCATCCCTCTGGGAAGGCTGTGCTGGAGGCTGGTGACTCTATCTCCTCCCCGTCCTTCTCTCTCCCTCTCTCTGTGGTTCTTTCAGATGTGGTGACCAAGCCTGATTGCAACTGCCTGTACCCCAAAGCCACCCCTAGCAGTGACCCGGCCTCTGTCTCCCCTCAGCAGCCCCTCGCCCCCTCCATGGCCCCTATGGCTGGCTTGACCTGGGCTGACTCTGAGGGGACAGAGGGCAGCTCCCTCTTGCCCAGAGAGCAGGCCCTCCGCACAGTGGACCCGGGCAGTGCCAAACAGCGACCACCCAGGAGCACCTGCCAGAGCTTTGAGTCACCAGAGACCCTGGGCGTCGAGGGCCACCCCACTGGAGGTTCACCTCAGCCCCAGCCCTCTGTCGGAGCTCCTGTCACTGTGATGGAAGACATTCTTGACTCTGTGCTGGGCACTAACTTGGACCTGGAAGAGGCCTCCGGAGAGGCTAGTGAGGGTCTTATACCCCAAGGGGCAGAGCTTGCCTCCCGCACGTTGTGGAGAGGCAGCGTCCAGGCAGAGACTGCCAGGACCAGCCGTCTCCTCTCAGCATCTTCACCACTCTCTGGGTCAGGAAAGGGCTGGCAGCCTGCGGATGTAACTAGCACACCACTGCCCATGGTGGGCCCCGTGAGACCCACCGAGGCCTGGAGTCACACACCTGAGAATGCAGACCATTCATCTGCCTCGCCCAGAGACCACCAGGAGCCAGGCTCTGCCGGGACCCCAGCACTGCACCCGCACGGCCTCAGCAGTCCCTCTGCCCCCTCTTCTCAGCCAAGGCTTCCCAGAAGCCATTCCCGGGGCAACGTGCTGCCCCTTGGGGAGCTGGAAGGCAAGAGGAGCACCAGGGACCGGAGGAGCACCGCAGAGCTGGAAGGAGGACAAGCAAGTGAGGGGGCGGCCAAGCCCCCAGCCCGTTTTAACTCCGTTCCTTTGACTGACGCAGGCCATGAGAGGCAACACAAGGAACCCTCCGACCCCCAGCTCCCCGGTTTTGTCTTCCGCCTGCTGGTGCCCAGCATCATCCTGGTCCTGCTGGCTGTCGGCGGCCTCCTGTTCTACAGGCGGAGGCGGCGGGTAAGAAGAGCCCGATGCGGGAGAGAAGGGCTCCGCGTGGGGGCGGGGCACAGCCTGGCTGGAGGAGCAGGTCAAGGACGACTTGGGCTCAGACTGGGTTCTTCAGGCGCTGAGAGACAGGAGGCTGACTGAGCACAGGGGATGGGAGGTTGAAATGGAGGGCTTCTTCAAGAACAGGGAAGGGTCAGGCTACAAGATGAACCAGTAGGGACTGGGGCCGAAGAGTAGGAGACACTGTGCTTGGTCTAAAGCACGATGAGAACCCAGATGGGAGGGGAGATGGGGGAGGGAAGTGATGCGTGTGAGGTCAGGGCAGGGCATTCCCTGGGAGCTCTGCAGAGCTGGGGTATGAGGATAGGAGAGGCCTCTGGAAGCCCCCTGGCCCTCTGGCTGATCCAGAGTGGGGAGGCTTGGTAACTCTCTCATAGAGTCCCTGAGCAGCCCTGCCTGAGGATGGGGCCACGGCGTCCCCACGCTCCCTCAGCTCCTCAGTGAGTCTGCTCTTTTCTGTCCCCAGAGCCATCGAGAGCCTCAGACAGTGGATTCTCCCATGGAGCAACCAGAGGGCAGGTGAGAGGTTTTTTTTTTTTGGGGGGGGGCTCTGATAGGCATGGGGGGCCTGTCTTGGCATCTATTTCCCATCTAGATTTGGAGGAGACGTTCTCCCTCTTGCTCTAAGGAGATGAGGTTCAGAACAGGATCCCGGGGTGGGTGGGGAGAAGGAAGGGTGTCTCTTCTTTCCTAGCTATCTGGGACTTTTCCTAGTTTCTTCTTAGGGTTAGGCAGTTCTGGGTCTTCTAAATCTGAGAGGGCTGGAGCACGTATGTGCGGGCTTGGGGGGCAAACTTAGGGGATCCCCTCACTCCCTGGCCTCTGCTAAAGTCTTATGCCAGCCTGTGCTCTGCCCGCAGCCCCCTGACCCAGGATGAGGACAGACAGGTGGAACTGCCAGTGTAGAGGGAATTCTAAGGTAAGACTCTAATCTGGATCTCTCGCAACCCCTTAAAATTAGTTACACCCAAATTTTCCAGTCACCCTAACTTGTTTGTGGTACCACCAACCCCCCTGAGGCACCCACACTTGACTCCCTTCTCTCTCTCTCTCCTACTCCCTTTTCCATCTATCGCCAGATCTATCTGGCCAACCCTCTCCTCCCTGAGTCCTCAGGCCCCCCACTTGCCCCTTCATTCCCTCCACCCCATTTGAGGCCAGGCACTGTCAATTCTGTGTCAGGCTATTATTTCTGCACTGGCCTTCTACTTTTGCTGCCACCTTCCATCGCAGAGCAGCCAAACTGTTCTTATGTAAGGTCTTTAGCCTCTTGGGGAATGTCAGCAGCTCTGTATCACCAGCCACTTCAAACCCAACATTCTCAGCTTGGCACCCAAGCTCCTGCAGCAGCTGCCCCTAACACGCACCTCTTGCCAGCTTCCTCTCTGTCTGCACCGATTTGACCCTTCTTCCCAACCAAGATCATTTCTACTTCCCTGCTTTTAGATGCAAGGAGCCATAGAGGCTTAGTCTTAGAAGGGCTCTCAGAGGTCATTTGGCCTAGTGTCTCTGCATCCGAGATGGGGAGTCAGCCAGCTTCTGGTCACACACTCTCAGTCGCAGGCAAGCTCCCTGCCCTCTCCCAATAGCACTGTAGGGAAGTCCTTCCTCACTAGAGGCATAACTGGCTTCCCTGCCCCCTCCCCATCCTCCCTCATGAGAGCCCTCCAATATTTAAAGTCAGTGATCCATGTCCCCTTTAAGAATTCTCTAAGCTAAGTGTGGCCAAGTCCCTCAAACATTCCTTATATGATATGGTTTTCAGACCCCTCACCATCCTGTTCGCCCTCCTTTGGACACACTCGTTTGTCAGTGTCCCTCTGAAAATGTGGCGCCCAGCCCTGGACACAGTGCTCCAGATGTCTGACCAGCTCAGAGTACAGTGGGACTGTTACCTTCCTTGATCTGGACAGTGTTCTTCTATTCGTACAGATTAAGATTGCATTCGTGTTTGTTTGTTTTTTGAACAACCACATCATTCTGTTGTCATATGTTGACCTTGCGGTCTATTAAAACCCCTAGTTCCATTTCCCATAAACCTCTGTCAAGCCGGACTCTATCCTGTACTTGGAGAGTTTAATGTTTTTACCAATGTGCAGGAATTTATATTCATCCTTGTTAAAACCACCTTGTGGGCTCAGGCCTATCATCCGAGCCTACTGAAATTGTTTTAAATCCTAATTCTGTCTTCATAGCCCTCCCAATTGTGTCTCCTGCACATAGATGAGTGCCTTCCGTTGTCCTCGCCCATGTTTTTGATAAACATGTGACTCTTACCACTCCTCACCCTGGGCTCCCCGATTCCAGGCAGCCCACGGCCCTCCTCCCTTCCTTCCCCTCAGACCACAGTCAGGCTGCAGGAATCAGCCCTTCCTGACGGTCTCCATCACCCTCTGGTTGCTCTTTTAGCTCATACTCCTCTGCTCTTTTGTATTTGGTTAATACTATATCGATTTGCACTTACTTGGATGTTGTTTGTTTTTATACATTTTAAAGTCTTACTTGATGCATACTTGTACATTCCATACCCCTAAGAAGTCTGTAAGCCCCTTGAGGGCAGGGACTGTGTCCTCTAGTTTTGTTGCATTTCTTTTTCTATCCTGAGTCCTGAACAGAGACGGCTTCTTCATCCTCGCTAAGAACTCAGTAAATGCTGACTGATTGGCTTCATGGCTGACTGGCCGATTGGCCCTGGCTGGCTGTCTCTAACTGTCCAACCTTCTGGCTGACCAGTTAACCAGCTGACTGATTGACTCTGACTGGCTGACCAGCTGGCTGGGTGACTCTGACCAGTTACTAGCTAGTAACTGCCTGACTGGCTAGTCGATTGGTGAGCTGATTGGCTAACTGACTGGCTGGCTGCCTGCCTGAGTTGCTCATTGGCAGGCTGGCTGACTAGCTGGAGTGAACCCATTCAAGTTTCCAGTCACATCCCATGCCAGATGCAAGCCAGCACTTCAGGGCCTTCTCATGTGTAGAGTGACAGGTCTGGGCCACTCCTAGCGAGACAGGGGATCTGCCAAATGCTGAAAATCAGGGGAGCCTATTTAGAAAACAGCAAGAAGTAACACATCTGGAATCCTGGGCTCACCTTGTTGGTAGGGTGAACGAAGATGGGTCAGATGGGACACTGGCAGGACTGCGAGAACGACGCATACCCCGTCAGGACTGGCAAGCAGAGGATGGACCAAGGTCCCTAGGGACTTCACGGCTCAATGCTGTACCACCCTCTGACTGGTCCCCTACCTCCCCCCTTGGTCTTGGCCCTCTGCCTGCCTAATCTCAGGCCCTCCCAAGCTTTCCTCTTCCCCCCCTTAAAATTTCACTTAGAGGGGAACCCAGGACAGGGGCCACATCCAGACCTCCACTTGGATCCAGCCCTAAAGTGGTCTCCAGCCCAGGCGGCAGGAGCCTCAGGGAGACTCAGGACCAGCCTCAAGACTTACTGCTGCTCTAGGGAGAGAAATGACAGGGGGAAACACAGAGGCAGAGGTCTGAGAGAGGGACCCTCAGAAAGGAAACGTGGACACCAGACCCCCCACTCCAAGGAACCAAGACATGGGGACAATGGGCTGGAGGTTGCCCATTTGGTTCTTCCTCCCTCCTGGCCCCAGCAGGGCCTGTGGCCTGGCTGCACCCAGCATGGCTCATGTCCAGTTTATGGTCCTCCCTTCTTCCCCTTCCAGAACATGGGAATGGGCTGGCAGCCAGAAGCTGTGGTCCTATCCCTCCTCCTTACCCATCACGAGTTTTGCTAGTAGGGCCCATGGACAGTCCGGGAGGGAAGCTCCACACTGGGTCCAAAGTCAAACTGTTGGATGGAGTCCAGGGGATTTCTGCTCTGGGAACAAAGCGTTCTGAGGACAAGGATGGGGGAGGGCTTGGAGAGAGCAGGGCCCTGACTCTTACGGATGATGCAGGGAGGCAAGTCCCTTGGTCCATCTGGCAGGAGGCTGGCTTGCTTAGGGGTTAGCACGCCAAATGGCAGGGTGGGAGTTTCCTTGTCCGGAACTGCCTCCAGTTCTCCCCCTTCAGATACCTCTGCCCTGCTGTCCTGAGGATCATGTGTGATGACCCTCTGTGATGAGTGCTGAGGAGGTGGGAATGAGCAATTCCTCTTCTTTGCTACAGTTAGCAGGATTCACTCTTGATTTTTTTAGACCAAGGACAGTGAGATGGTCTTTCCTGAGGAGGGGTCTAAGGACATGCAAGTGCCCCCTTGAGCAAGTACCCCTCCACTTGAGCAATGCCCCCTACCCCAGCCCTGCTGAGACCTCTACCAGGCCCTGTTACCTCCCCCTATGGTCCCTGGTTCCCCAGGAGGAGGTAGGAGGTGAGGCCAGTCTGCCCAGTGGCTTGGGCTGCTGCCAGAGAAAGCTGCCCGGTCCCTTGTGGTGTCTGGGGTGGCTGGGAAGGCGAGGGAAAGGATGGGGGGAGTCCTGTCTGCAGCACCACCGACGGCCCACAGGAATGCTGTACCTCGCCCACCCATGTCCTCAGTGACCCCTCCCTTCACTCCCACCCGGCTGACCAGCCTTTCTTTCTCTCCCCTACAGCTGGGCGCGCAGGACAGTCTCTCCGTGCGAGGAGACGTTATGGGGATATCCACCACCACCCCTCCCCAGCCATTCTCCTGGGAATGTGGCCTGCCCACCATGAGAGCTCCTGGACTCAGGAGAGCAAGACTGGACCAGAGCAGCGAGGCTGGGGCCCTCAGCCCTCGACCCTCAGACTCTGGACTGACTAAGAGAGGGCTGGAGGATGCCCCCCACGCTGCTATTTATCGGGGGCCCTGGAGGCTCCCATCCGCTTGAGGAAGGCTGGGAAGCCCGGCTGAGGACCCTCTGCCCCTCAGGGGCTGTGTCCTCCTCCCATTCCCCTCCAAGCCAACACCTGGGCCAGGGACCCAGAGGCCCGTGGGACATGGGAGAGCAGGGTGGGCGCTGAGGAATGGAAGAGCCCTTGTGCCCGAGCACCCGCCTGGTGCCAAGGGATCCCAACACCGACAAGCAGGGACTCGTCTCCAGAGAGAGAAGCATGAGATTCGCAGGGCAGGACAGCGTCACTGGATTTCCCGTAAAGGTGTGTAGCCCAAAAGACGGGAAGAGAAGGCTTCTGGGCCTGCTGGTCTGCACTGACAGCCCAGAGCGGGTCTGCACCCTCCACTTGCCTAACTGCCCTCTGCTGGTGGCCAGGCGGAGAGGGGATGCCAACCCTACCCTCAGGACCTGCCTGGCTTGGCTCCTGTTGCCAAGGGCAAGACCAAGCTCTGGCCTCGGCCCCAGCGTCCCCCCAGCCCTGCCAGAGCTTCTCCGGGAGGCCGCGCAGAGGCTCTCCTCATGAAGGAAG